GTTCCGCGTAGAAGACGACATTTTTGGCATACTTCATTAATCTAGTGATGATACAGGCGCTCTTCTACCGTACCCCAATAAAGAGAATCAAGTTCACCGTCATAAGAGACAATCTTTAATTGTTCATGTCACAACTCAAATATTGGTGAAACTCGACAGCCATTACCCAAGAGACACGCCGAAAATCAGCCAAAGTCACACACAGCGGAATCAAGTGTTGCCCAACACCTACAATCTAGTGCAGGTCACATAATCAAGTGGCCCAAGACCCAAGCAGTCAATCAACGCAAGAAAAAGATGGAAGCTGTACACATCAGAAGACCCAAGCCAGACCTCATCCGTGCTCGGGAATATTCCTCCCAAGAGCTTATTATTTTTAAATCGTGTTTTATCGTCATGTAGTCATTACGAAACTTGAGTGAACGGCGGTTTCAAAGAAGAACTGAACAGTTACTACCCAGATGTGTCTAATAATTTAGTCAACATTACTAAGCAATTGTATTACAAATAGTATTTGTAATGAAACAAATGACGGACCGTTTCCTCCCTCGAGAATCGTCGCTATTCGACTGGTTCTTAACTATTCGACCAATGGTGATAATATAATTTGAAATAATAATACCCGATTACACATGCTTGTATGAAGCCACAGTAAACGGAATTCAACCATCAAAATATTTAATTCTCTTCGAAAAGAATTGTGGGCTATTTTGATTATTTCCATTTATTTGTTGTTTAAGACGAAACGAAACATCAAATAATCACCGCTTGGATTAATTATTGGAAGTAAATAATGATGTTGTTGTTGTTATTTATTAAAGATTTAACGTCCAATACGTTAAATATGATATTATGGACAGGTTGATTTAATTAAATTATTTACACTTAATGGGTTTAAAATTGATAAAAGCATACAATACAAACGCCCGTGTATATAAAAAGTCTCCTTAAAATTGGTAAAAACACAAAATAAAAACTCATATAATAAAAAAAGCCAATAATGACTTGAGGCAAGCTTTATATATGCCATTGGCAATCAACTAATCATTAATCAGAGACAATTGATTAGTATTACTCATAGACACGCTCCGGATTATAATATGCCGTCACGTGATTGACACGATTAGAATTTTAAGATTTTATTCCCGCCAATTCCCAAAAAGAATCGCCAGCACCCCAAAACGCTTATCGCAAAAATCAAATTTTAATCTCCACTTTCATATTTTTATCGCAAATTGTGACTTCGGCAACCGACAGTGTGAGCATGAGATTGTACCTAGTCCATAATGTAAGTTACAGCCCTACATTCAATTTAAACAGTGAAGTACATTAAAGTTAGAGCCAAAATATAGTTTTTGCGTCATTCCGCTCGACATAAGTTGGAATACGTACTTTCCTGTATAAGGGTGAACATCTGGAGTTCGTAAACAAGGTTCCAAGAAATCAAATCTTCGAGACAGTCCAGGTTAACGAAGGAAGGTGGTAATTTATTATGTTAGACATGTCAATTTAAGGAGTGTCAAAATTACGATAACCGAGAATCTATTCTATGAGTCACGAAGAAGAAAAACATAGCGACGTAAAATGTATAATCAGGTTAATATATGATTATCATCAGTCAAACCTATTTTTTTATGTTCTGAAGAGACAAGAAGCAAAAATAAAAATCAGATTCCCCGAAATCTATCAATCAAACACATTTCATTTATGTTGTAAAGAGAAACAAGTAAAAGTACAAATCAAATATAGATACGGCACATAAAGTTTAAAAATCTTACCGTACCACCCCCGCCCCCCCCCCCCCCGAAAAACAAAACCAGAAAACCCCCAAAAACGATAATATTTTTCATGAACCACTTCTAGGAACCAAGAAAAGCAAAACATAGCTTCAAAAAATTTATAAACAGGTTAATATATGGCTGTCATTGGTAATACCCCGAAATCTTCCGATAACACCTCAATCATTTATGTTTTGAAGAGACAACAAGTAAAAGCAAAATTCAAATATAGAGTTTAAGACCATAAGAAATAATAATAAAAATAAACCTTACCCATCCCCCAGAATTATTCTGTGAACCACTTCTATTAATCAGGAACCGAAACATGGCTGCGTAAAGACCAAAAATAAAAAGGGGGGTTCCCCGAAATCTTCCAATAAAAACTAACATGTCGGTCAAAATAGTATTCAATTCGATCAGTCTTGCCGTCCATTATAAGTTTACTTTAGTTTTTGGTGATTTCGCGTAGTCAGGTATCACTCTAAAGTAATATCACTGACTTACGAGTGTGTGTGAAATAGCTTTGTTTAACGTCCGCTTCCATAGAGGTGATATCGCAGACAAAAAATTTACGAAAAAAATACCAAAACACTTTTATAGATGAAAATATCTAACACAAACAGATCAAAGTCGTCATTTTATATACATAATATTTATTAGTTAGTTAAAATTGTTAGACATCAGTGGTCATTAAAAATGCATTATAGGAGATTAGATAAAGAGCTGACAGTTTTCACTATAATAGTTAAAAACTAGATAATGTAAAGGGAATTTACTGAAAATTTCAGTCAAATTGATCCATTCTGAACCGAGATTTTTGCTGTTGAATTTTTGGCCTAGCCTCGATCATTATTACTAAAGTCGGTACGATAAAAAATATAGTCTCGATTATCCATTTCATGATTAAATCATGAATGAAAGTTGAGCAGCAAATCTGGTTGTAATCCAGTAAATATCGCAGGCTAGCGCTGACATCGAGAGTTGATTATGGTCTGGATAAGTTAATTGATGTCTAATTAATAATTTAGATAACATTTCAGGCCTAAATAAAGACCTGCAATAGGCAGATTTAGCTCTTGCATAATGTATGTTTAAGTACGTGTTATTCCACTAAGGTGTTCAAACCGTGACTATTGAATGATATACACCACTATGGTCCAGGCCTTTGTATTCAATACTATATTAGATTAGAAGTGACATCATTTACACCTGTTAATTAATGACTACTGTATGATTTCTAACAACTTTCTGTACAAACTAAACATTAGTTTAGAATAATGATCATTTGTATGATTTGGTGACAAAATATTTCATTAGTAAATGACCTGGGTTCATAAGTCAAATGGTATCAGCTATTTACGTTGTGATGGTTTGGGATATCACTAATTTGTATTTGCTGGCATGGACGCCAAGAGATTATCTATATTAATTTCTATATTGATTTCCTGTCTTCATCTTTCTACGTCTTTAATGTTTTGAGTTATACCCTAATTGCATACATTATGTCACTTAAACTGCTTTTCATTTAATTTTCTAAATCACTAAATAAAATCTACAGCTCTTATTTGCATATCATTTAAATAGTGCGAATGCGTATTGACCCTCTGCCATATTGTCTCTTTAAGTTACTTTAAAAAAACAGCAACCAAAATTCATTTAGTGATTATATGCAACTTTCTTCCTACCTAACGAATTTCCATAAAGATATGTTTCAGAAATCCTAAAACCCATCACAAGCATTTCTTACAGACCAACAGCCCACAATTAAGCGAAATCCTGTAAGCTTAAAGAGGTCTTTAGAGATCTGTCGGGTGGGGATTATTCAGTTATGCTGTTCAAGTGTAAACCTTGTTGTAATTTCTTGAATGTTCGTGGATGAATAAATGAAGACGGGACTCTTGTTGGTTGTTAATATTACTGTATTCTTTGGTTAACAACTATACCAATAATTAGTAATACTAATCATCTTAATTTTTAAAATTTTATTTCCATACCAGTTCCCTTTAATACTATATCAAATCATGCTACACAACATTTAGATCTGCCACAATGCGTGTATTTCGCAGTTCAAAGGATTACCAGCACTATCTAACATTTGACTATAATTTAATTCATAATGTTTTGGCGATAAGCACTTGTATTGTACGAACAAAATCGCGTTGAGATTAGGAACAATTTCTTGTTGAAAGTTTTAATTTTCCTTTATTTTCTTAATACATGTTTTTTAATAAAAAAAATCAAAGACACTCAATACATGCAGATAGTCCTTCATGTCGTTATTTCAAAGACAGATAAACGTAATCCTCTTATTTGAGGCATGGCATGGATTATAACATTTGGATTTAGAATGATACAATTCATAAGGATAATACTTTTTAAAAAGGTTGAGTGGAATGATTAATATTTAATAGATATATGGTTATGGTCAGTGGTCTAGCCACTTGCGCTCACGGTTTTGCTATTCAAATATGACTAAATTGCAGTGGGTAGATGAACATTTTCAGTTTTTATCATAATGTTTGTAAGAGCGAATTTCAATATTTAACATAGCGAATAAATTACTTATGAAAGAGAGTTAGAAATTGGGTTTAACGTCCACTCGACACAAACTAGGTCATTTCGGGACTAACATATGGTTCAATTTTATTTCCATAATTTGCTTGCGCGTAGGGGTGGGAAGAAACCGGAGGACCCGGAGAAAACCCACGAGGTTGGACAGGCGACCCTACTTCTTGTCACGTACAACCGGGGATTCGAAACCACGCCAGTTGACTCAATGACAGACTTTGTGATACAGCGCGCACGTGCTAACCATTCAGTCATCCAACCCCCCAAATTACTTATGAATAAGGAACACAAAGCAAAGTTTTTTTTAAGAAAAGCACCCCATTTATTGGAAAGGTACTTGTTACATACAACCTGAAGGATAACACGAAAATTAGAAGAATGTCGAACACATACAGTATCAAAAGGATAATATCGTAAATATAAAACTTTAAAAAGTTAACTTTTCTTTTGCGATTCATTTATCTATTTTAGACGATGTGCGTGATCCGAACTCTCTCGTTTCGAACCAAAGTTAAACTTAAATTTTATAAATAAAAGCTTTAAGTCGTTATAGTTTTCAATCCACTCTTCCACATTTCCAACCAATGACATCGTTTGAACTAAGTATTTCTTTAAACTGATTAAGAAAATAAAATGAAACAAGAAATGCCTTACCTGTAGTTTCTAACTTTTAAAACACATCTTTTCGACTTCAAGTAATTGTTTACACAATGAATCCAATATTTTTACATGTCTATATGTTTCTTTTTAACCCTTGCCATAGAATCGATTAATGACAATATATAGTCAATAAAGAAGGAGCGAATTAACCGCCCATGCTTGATCGTTGTCTCATCATTTGTCCATTGGCTAACTGCGCACTGCCAAGATCAGCAGACGTCATCTGATAATTTAATTTCGTATGCTACCATCGTTAATTTTAACATGAAAGTGCGATGCGTTACTCTTTCATCGATTGCCTTTATAAATGTAATTGATACTGAGGTTGGTACATACCATGATTATTTCTGTCATGTGAGTTATATTTTAGTCAGTGACAGCTGAGATCTGACAATAAAGTCGGTGTTGCTATGTCTTTAGCTTCTTAATAATTCTGTAACTTAAGAAAAGCTAATATACTGTAACACATACTTATGGAAAACAGCTGCTAACATATTTGGGCGACGTTTCGATTAGTATTCTCTTAACGTTATCCAGCTAAATACAGCTAAGTATTCTATTATTCTCGTGTTCTCTTATTTAATGACATTCAATTACTTTGTTGAATTGTCAGGTATCCTCTTACAGTCCCATATAACAACTTTTGGTCTTCGAAGGAATTATTAGTGAGCAGAAATTCGGCCGTGTATCTGTTATCACTCGTCACATCAGTCAGTTATATAGAGGGATGACTCGTGTTTTCCTTTGGCGTTCGTCACTTCCGATTCAGGAAACCTGTATTACTCAGCTATTGTAGCAATGATCTCTGTGTTAAAATTATATTTGGAATGTGATTAACCAGCTCTATCACATATGTGATAATGACTGGCACCAATATTGTCCTTTAATATAGATTGACAAAAAATGAACCCACATTTTAAAGGGTTGCTGGGCGACATGACACGCATCTTTCAAAATGCATAAAATAATAATTTAATTAATGAATGAATATATTTTTCGCACCGTTTTGTTCAAATATCATTCGAGCAAGTCATATTCTTTTTAGATAATTTAATGTTCATTTAGACGATGGCAACCCAAGGCCATAATATTGTAACTTCAATTTGTCAGAAAGGAATATTTTGTGTAGGCATAAGAAAAGTAAATTTCTTGAATGTTTCCCGATGTGTCTGTTAGTACCTCGCGGAGGATGATGGGAGGTTGTATTGACGATCACGTGTTGTTTACCCTTTAAGAATGTCGCTTAATTTCAAAACACATATGAGTCAAATTAAAGAAGTCGATCACACACCATTATTGTTGTGTTTGATCTGAACATAACAGAACAAACATCTTTCTTCTTGTCTTCTTGTCTTCAATATTTTACTTAATCATCGTCGACAACGCCTTGAGATACCACTCGCCATTAAACAAATTACGCGCTCCTAAAGGACGACATCTTACAAACCTTCAAGGAATATTTCGTTGAAATGGACGTAAGGCTATCAGTGAACATAAGGTATTAACACATACATTTGTTTACCATATTTATTTTTAATAAGGGTTATTATAACACGTAATTATTATTGAAAGGTATGAGATTTCGGTTACGTCAAATCCGAGCAGCTAGCCCATAATCAACACTCTAGATCAGGGGTTAGCGACCCGCGGTCCAGAAACCAGCTTAAAAAATTACCTCTGTTTTTAGAATTCAGTAAAGGATAAGGACGTTTGGCTTTGTTTTTAGAATTTTTGTATCTCCGGCCCACTTGAAGTAAAATTTTAGTTCATGTGGCCCCGGAATCGAAATGAGTTCGACACCCCTGTTCTAGATCATCAGGGGTCGCGATTTTCGATCGCCATTTAATAATTTGATTTAAAACTGGATAATCGAAAGTTTTATTCTATTATCGGAAAAATGGTACACGGCAATTGAGACAACATTGTGAACATTTCAAAGTCTGATCCACTTTTTATTCAGGCTGATTGGTATCATGTTGTGATGTCGTGGTGTCACCCTTCATAAGGCGACAATCCGACATCACGACATTTTAACCCGACACTACGACAACCCGACATACGACATTTTTACGCGACAATACGACATTTTGTGCACACCAATATGTACACAGGAGCTTGTTTGGGTTTTTTTGTCTTATCTACACAATTAGACACTGTTCTTTGTTAGGCCCTTTGTCCTGAACTAATATGGTACAATTTTATTTCCAGAAATAGCTTTAGTCGAAATAAAAATCCAGTTGACGAATTCGGAAAAAGTAAGTAATCGAAATTAGTACCAGGTTAATGGGTTGGGGCCAAGTGGGACGCAAGTGTCCATAATGACAATTAATCAAATAAAAACAATGCTGCCCAACCCCGTACATGGGTTTTCTCTGATTCTTTTAATAATACATTATAAGAAATGAAATGGGGTTTAACGTCCATCTGTTCTGCTCCGACTGGGCTAATGAAGAAGGGGTACATTTATAAGACCAAATTATTTATCGAAAAGCCAAACAAACGTTTGGCGAAAACTACTTCAAATTTACACGATTAGTAAATATCCAATCTAAACGATTTAATCTCATATATAAGATTTTAACAGCGTCCATCAGTATACGCACCAGATTTCACTGTACTCTAAAATGGCGTCAAATGAAATCATATTTTTAAAGTTTTACCGATAGGTTTAGATAATCAAATACCATTTCTAATTAATAGCAGAAGTAATAGTACGTCATTAAAGATCTATTTTCTCGATGACCTTGATCCTAAATACATACGCAACGACATTTGTTAGCAAAACATGAATGAATTTAAGTCTCCGATCATTATTTGCATTTTTTTGACATTATCTACTTTTCGCCGTTTAATTATACTAAAATATAAACATATTGATTTGTATTATTTAATACGATAAATACTCTCCTGACTTCGATTCAGGCAGATTAAAGTCTCTAACGAAATATTTTCCGTAATATTCGAAATTAAAAACACGAATTAGAATTCAATATTGATCAATTTCAATCAATATTAATGTTTTTATCTTTCCGTGAAACTATATGATCCTAATATCCAATATTTAAGACACAATTAACATTTTATAATCAGTACACGAGTCTTGTACCCTATGGTTTCGGGTACCATAAAGGCTGATTCAAAAACGACAAAATAATAATTTAAAAAACGTGTAGAATGCACTAAGCAGGCGTATACGACTGCCGTCCCATTTGAACTGTTCGCTTATTTCACGGAGATTACAATATTTCTTTTTCAATATGAATATAAATCACTTTATACACATTCATACTACATTAATATGTGCTTTGTTATATTTCAAGGTTAAAAAAAAAATAAGAGACTAACTTGGGTGTTTTAAGTCTATTATTTGAGTTTTCTTCGTAGCTAAAAATAACAAATAACAACATTTCGTCTAATAATAAGTTTAGGGGGCCAAAATGATGACAGGATTATGCCAAAGGGTAAATACCCTTATATATCCAGACAGTGACTTTATTAAATACTAAAATTAATGCTGCGTATTAAAAGCGAATAGTCATTTCATCAACACTTATAATTAAATGTCATTACATTGGGTTAAAGAAAATTGAATGCTATTAAAGGGGGTGATATTTTTATACTTACGTACACGATCGATATAATAGATAGTTCGTTTAAAAGCCAAGGCCAGTATCTGTATGATTTGCAATAGTGTCCATTACCCATCCCTGTCTATATTCATTGCTCCAGGAACTAAAACTATCGCAATATGTGTAAATGTTTACAGAAAGTAATTATTATAGCGATATCCTGTTTTTGACGAGGATGAATGTCATCAGCCTTATTATCTATGTTTACTTTATAAACAGATATAGTCTTTAGAAGCGTTTACCATTTGTTTATGTAGTGTTTGACTTTATTATTTACGGAGTTCGAATGTCACCCAGGCTAAAATAAAGCTTAAAAAATTCAGCGGTATGTTGAATAACACTGACAAACACAAGTCATCAGTCCAATTACCCACACCAGTGGTGTCATAAATTCCATCACAATAAAATCCTATCTATTTTTTTAGGAATATAGTTTCCTTGATAAAACCAACCATGATGCTTCATGTTCTTGAAATGAAGATGTTTATGATAACATGGTGTATCGGTTAGAATAGGTGCCCGGATTGACACAGAACGCAATCTTACTTAATATTTAATATACGATACAATACTTATTAACCAACAAATTACCAAAGAAAAGAAGCCAATAAGGTAAGATCAAGTGGTTACAAAATGAAAATAAGAAATGTTTGGAATTAGTTTTACGGACAATAATTCAGCGGAAGTTCAAACATTTAATGATTTAAACGTCTCGATTTGAATGGCGGCGCTTCCGTTTCGCCAAGAGGACACAGCTCACCGAACGAAACAAGTTTTAACAAGGGCAAATGTTATCTTTAGCCTTTCTGTCCCTTCCCCCCTTCTGCATGGCGATCTTTGTTGACTTTTTGGTGTAGAATTGAAGAAAAGGTTTTGAATATACATTTTCTGCCCGGTTTTGGTCAATATTCATGATTGTGATGCGCAAGAATACGAGAGTTAAGATGTCGGTTAGGTTTAATTGTAAGGAAAATTGAATGTTTATTTGTCTCTTCTTTCAGTTTGTGTTTTTGAGCAAGAGTTTGCCACATGTTGCCCCATCTGTGGTAGAAAGCGTTCTACCCAACGAAAATTTGGGAAAAAGTTAGAGCCGGTTTAATAGTAAGTGCAGGAGGACCGCACTACACGTAAAACAAAAATTTACAAGATAAACCTGCGGACAAGACAGAAAAAAGACATTGCAACAAATAAAAAAATGTCAAAGAGATGAGAATAAACATTAAAGTCAATAGGGAAATCATTGTTGATCTGTGGCCAACAAATTTAAAGTCACGCTGATAACCGAATTTGTACCACGTGATCGATAGGTTTCCACTCCATTCATATGTACGAAGAACTGAGCAACCCCCCCCCCCCTTTCGATCCGCCCCGACTTGAGCATAGGGGTTTCGGATAGTTTGTACACATGAGATTATGTTTATTGATTTTACGATCTTTATGCTTCTATAATGGTTTGGAAAATATCTGATGTGTATTCTCTAGCATTTAAGTTAATAAACGATTATCTATACCTACGTTTAAATCTTCCAAATTACCATTTACATAACACTTTTTTTCAGATCAATTTAAGTA